TGCCACAGCACTTATACTGAAGCCATCCACCTACTTTGCTGTCAGGCTGTCCCGCTGCCCAGATGACAGTCCTTGAGGTCAGGGCTTACTTCACGTGCCACTGCACCTCCGGTACCCAATGAGTTAGATGTCGAGGGGTAGATGGGTAAGCGAATGGACTGATGGGCGGGCCGGAAGAAGGACAGACATGTGTATATATGCTTTGCCATGAAACACACCATCCAGTTATTTTTTGTGTTATTTTAATATCAATGGACCTGAATGCAGTAATGCACCTTTAGGCGGTATCAGAGAAAGGCAGCATTAAATGAGGATTTTCTAGACACTGAAGGTGACTCAGGTACCAAGACTGTTTTTTACCCAAATTTCTGGGGACAGAGGGAGGCATATCACAGAGGTAAAGAACTCAAGCTCTACGCCCCCACTGGTGGAGTTGAGATCACAGCCGTGCCTTGCACCGGTCCTGGACCTCACTTTACCAATTGTAACCTACCTCATAGGCTGAAGGGAGCCAATGGACGGGAATGTCCTTGTAGGTGCTCAAGTGCCGGCTGCTAATTACTGCTACCACAGGCATTTTACACGCCACTGCTGTCTTGAGTGGATGGTTCCACACAGAGTCCAGCCTGCTCTGATTCAACACCAGCGGAGTTCTGATGCCGCTTCAGAATGTTCTCATCTCTTCCTCCTGCCTGTGGTGCCTGACTTACCGTCTCCACCTCCAGCCCCCTTTCTGATTATCCCCCATACAGCGGGTTAAAATGGCATCCTGCATAGAACTCAAGACTCTGGATGCATCTAGATTTAGTGCTAGGGGTTTGTTGCAATCAAATCCAAGAACTGAGAGCCTTTAACTGCTTCTGGAGGTTGGAAAAGTACACTGGAGGCTGCTAAAAGTTTGGCCAGCAAATAGCTCAAGTCTTGTCAATCACTAAACATATTTGAACGAATTAGACTAGCATCTAGGATATTGGAGCCTGAAGGGATGTTACATATGACAGAGTTCAAACCATCATTTTACAGATGGGAAAACTGAAACCCAGGGAAAACATGGGATTTACTCAAGGTCACAAGAGTAACATGTTAGGATAAAACCAAAAAGAGGCTCCTCCAGGTCTTCTGGCATCTAGTTTACTACTTTTCTTGTAAGACTATGTTTTCTCTTCTGATTGAGTATTTACTATGACAGATTCAAAGAAATGCCCTACAACTACCAATTATATTTCACAGTATTTAGCCATTGACTGCATTGTTGTAGGCCTTGGGCCTACAGGGTGCCTCTCTGTCTCTCTCTCTCTTTCTGTCTCTCTCTCTCTCTCTCTCTTTCCATCTCCCTGCCTGTGTCTGACTCGCTGTCTCTATCTCTTTCTCTCTGTCTCTCTATCTCTTTCATCTGTCTCTCTGTCTCTATCTCTCTCTGTCTCTCTCTATCTCTGTCTTTCACTCTCTCTCTCTCTCTCTCTCTCTCTCTCTCTGTCTTTCTCTCTCTTTCCATCTCCCTGCCTGTCTCTGACTCTCTGTCTCTGTCTCTATATCTTTCTCTCTGTCTCTCTCTCTGTCTCTCTTTCTCTCTCTGTCTGTCTCTCTCTGTGTGTGGCTGTTCCTGCTTGGCTAAGATGAGAAGCTAGCTTGAAGTTCAGGTGCCAAGCAGCTCTGAGGCCCAGGTCCAGTCAGGTAAATCCAGGCCAGGCTACCTCCAAGCCAAGCTATTTTAGGGAGCAGTGGGTAAGTGTACCCTCTTAGCCTTAGAGGATAAAGCACTCAGTTTAAGAGAAGATAAATTTGAAAAAGGAAAATCGGGAGATTAATTTGAGGGGGAGAACTCCCAGCCTCTTGTGTATCTAAGGATCTGATCGTGTGCTCCTACTCCTATTTCTTGCACCTCCATTTCCTCCTTTGCTTCTAAATTCTAGCAAGAAACACCAGCCACGAGGGCCCCAGAGGCCCAACTAAAGGTGTGAATCCAAGTGGATGACGCGAGGGAATAGATCTGGAACATAAGATTTATATCCCACAGGATAATATTTCATTGCAGCAGGGGGAGAAGAAATCCTAAAAATATCATACAGAGCATATTATAATATGCTAACGGGTTTATGTGCTCCCTCTATCCATTTCACTCAGTAAGATGGATTGTGCTTTTTGACAAATCTATATTTAACATAGGGAGAATAATACACAATGTACGCTTCCTGGTGGGGAAATCCATATTTATGGAAATCATGATTCTGGCAATTACAATAGATATTTAAAGACAGGACCTATTGTCTGCTGGGAACAGATTGATTGTCCTCATTAGGGTGGAAGAGAAAATCGTATGAGTGGGAAAGAATAAACAACTACTTTACAGGGGCAGGAGGGTCCAGAGTGAGCCAACAGTCATCTCTGTTCGGGCCCAGCTCCCCTTCATACCCCGTCCTGTGGACCCTCTCGTCAAGCATCCATCATTCATTCATTCTTTCCTCCATTGAACAAATACTTATTAAGCCCTTCCCTGTCCCAGGCACTCTGCTGGCTCTGGGGCACAAGCGAGACCCCCGTTTTCAGGGATTAACATTGACCCAAGCAGCCACAACTATAAACAAGGAAAAAGGCAATGATTTCAAATAATAAGAAAGATTGAAATAAGGCAGGGTAATGTGACAGAGACTTATAGGCAGGTGTGGGGAGGCTAGGGTCACTACTGAGAACAGATGATGAAGGAAGGCCCATTCTGGGGTGTGAGATCTGACCTGAAATGCAACTGCAGAAAAGGAGTGATCTTTGCAAAGAGCTAGGGCCGAGCCCTGCAGATAGAGGAAGGGAGCAGCTGCTGCTGAGTCCAGGGCAGAGTGAGCTCAGAGCCCCGAGGAATAGAACCAAGGCCCGTGCAGCTAGAGCAGGGAGCAGGGAGAGGGGTATAAGGCAGGAAGGTTCTGAGGGGCCAGTTATTCAGGCTCTGAGTTACAGTCAGCTGTTTCTTGTGTGCAATGGGAAACCTCAAAACTCACGAGAGGTTTTGCACAAGGAAGGGAAATTGTGTTTTGTTAGTTTTGTGTTGATTTGGTTTTGGGTTTTGTTAATTAAAAAGATACCTCTTGCTCGGAGGGGCGAAGGGATTTGCTGAAAACCAAATGCCATAAGCCTAGAGTCCATGAGAACTCCCTTCAGATACTGGGAGGGCCATGGAATATGGGTTCACAGAAGATATTCCATGAGCCTCTGGTCTCAAAGAGTCATCAGTCAGGGCACCTTGAAAGGTACTGAGTGCCCAGTAACTGCAGGTATGCAAGCAGATGTTAATGTGTTCCTGCCCGGTTTCCCCGGAGACAGTATTCTGGTTTTCAGTGGGGATCAGACACATGACTCATACAGTTCAGTTGCAATCTTTAAGAGATGAACTTTCAAGCCCATTAGCTCCAGGGATTGAATCAGAACTAAGACTCACAATAGGCAACTGGGTACTGGTGGCGAGTTGCATTCTTTAGTGCAGCATAGACCAGAGGATCTTCAATAACATGTTAAAAGTATTCACCAACAAAGGATCCTGGGGACATACAGACTTGACAAGATCTGGGTTAAAGTTGAACAGGATCCCTCACAATCTTTTATGTAACTAGAGTGCAACTTGCACCTCCAAAATGCGGACAAGGTGAGCACCATTTCCCAAGTTTATTTGACCAAGGATGCCTTTTCTTTTTTAAGGAGCATTTTGTTGAATAAGGTTTTATGGAACACATTTGGGCGATGCTTATACAGCATAATTTGAGACCCCACATACAAGGTACTGTGGGGTCATGGAAGCAGACGATGTGTTAAAGAGAACAACAGATCTAAGAGCATCAGCTTTTCATCTTAAAAAAAAAAAAAAAAAAAAAAAAGCACTGATAATGCCAAAGTCCCAGGGTTATAATGAGAACTAGATAGACTAATATATGTGAAAGGATGGCAAGGTACCCTAAAATACGACTACTGTGATTGAGGATGACTCATCTGCCTCACCATCCATATTTGGAGGGTAATTTCAGGCATGGGAGATAGCTTTAGGGTTGGTCACCTACCCAACTGGGGTGAAGAGTATGAAACCTGCATCCTGTATCCCATATTAAAATGAGTTTAGTAGCTAACCAACCTGGGGTTTGGCCCTATGACTTTAGTTTTTTAACTTTATCTTCTAACCAGCAGTGTAATAAAGCATAATCCAGGACTGGGTCCTTGCAAAATGGCTCCCATGGGGGTGTTCATACAGTTAAGCTGTTACTATGTCTGATACACTGGGGGGGTCTGAAAAGTCAACTAGCAGGATGTACAAACACAAAGTGAACACTGGCAGAGAAATGTATACCGCAAGCTAAGGGTAAACCGAGAACATCAATACTTGTTTTCTTCAACATGGATCTGCAGCAAGCTGGCAGAACTCCTTGATTCTGTAACAACTGTTAATGCTTTGCCTTAACATGATGGGCAGTGTCATAGAAAGATGACTGGATGGGGGTTAAGATACCTACCCAACTCAGATATGGCCTAGATGTGCCATCTTGGACATGTTCGCTAACTTTCTGAGCCTTAGTTTTTCCCTTTTAAAAATGATTCAGTCATCCCTCTTCTACATTAAGAAGATCATCGCAGAGATAAAGAGACATATGAAAATGGGAACATATGAAGAGAACATAAGAGAGAACATATGAAAATGGTTTAGTATATTTATCATTAATAAGCATGGCAACATCTGGCATAGAATTGGGACCTTCTAAACATTGGATGAGACTTATAGACATGTGGATTAAACAGATGGTTGGGTGAGTGGGATGCATAGACATGTAACATGGGAAGGCAGTTGGACAGACTGGTAGATTGGAAGGACGCATGGATAGATTGGTTGGATGGGTGAATGGCCAGATGATAGATGAATGGAAGGATGATGAGTTGGGATGGATGAACCAGTGGATGGATTAGTTCGGGAACCATCTGCCAGTTTCCTTGCAGCATCTTCTATTAATCCTTCTCTTCTCCTCCTCCAGTCTGTTCCCAGTTCTCTAAAGGAGTCTACGCCATCTTTGGGTTTTATGAACGGAGAACTGTCAACATGCTGACCTCCTTCTGTGGGGCCCTCCACGTCTGCTTCATCACACCGAGCTTCCCCGTTGACACCTCCAATCAGTTTGTCCTTCAGCTACGCCCTGAGCTGCAGGATGCTCTTATCAGCATCATCGACCATTACAAGTGGCAGAAATTCGTCTACATTTATGATGCCGACCGGGGTAAGCCAAGGGTTAGGGGAGGAAGACTGTTGAGATTGGAGAGAAAATTGCCAGAGGAAGGAGAATGATGCCTCCCTGCCTCATTGAAAAGCAAGGGAGGAATGATCCAGAAATTCTTTATTTCTGTGGACTGATTGCTCATGGCTAATTTCCAACTCACAGTGTGGAAACACATCCTTTGAGAGAGTAATTCTCTTAACACACCATGTCACTCTACAGCTTGCCAAGCTTCCATGGCTCCTGAGTCCAGGCTCAAAGCCCAAGGGCCTCCATTGAATGGCTCATGACTTATGGTGTAGGTGTTAGGAGCACAGACTCTAGAGTCAGACAAACCTGAATCTAAATTCTGTGTCCTCTCCTCTCCCACTGTTTGTCTTTGCACAAGCTCTCTCCGCCTCAGTTTGGGTTAAAATTCAGAATGAGTTGGAGATAAAATTTTCTATGCCTTCATCCCCTCATCTCTATCATAAGATGAACCTAATCTCTACCTCCTAAAGTTGCTGTGAGGATTGCATGGGGTGACTAGAAAGTTCCTGTCAGTGCCTGGGATACAAGTGCTCAGAATCCTCCATACATATTAACTGCCATCATCATCATCACCATCATCACCATCACCCCTCCAGGCCCTTCTAGTTCTGCTCCCACTTTCATTTTGAATTTTATGTCACATTTTCCAAATGTTTCCTATGCCTCTTTCTTCCCTGCATCTTTCCTCATGCTGTTCCTCTTTTCTGGAATGCACCTCCTTTCCCAGATCTACATATGCGAATCCTTCCCCTCTTTTGCAGCTGCTCAAACACTGCTTCTCTATCCCCGAATCCTTAAATGGGAACTTTCTCTTTTTTTCTGATACCTGTGGTGGTTGTATTATACTCTCCTGCCTTTCCCTTATATACTAAACGGTCTGGTCTTCAGAACCTAGTCATTATTGGTATAAATAAATAAATGGATTGTGCAAAGTGTGGAAACTGAGGAAGGGTAGTTTTGCCCTGAGTGAAAGGGAGGTTTTGCAAGAGGTTCCTACAGGAAGGCTTACAAGACTTTTGAGTAGAACAATGGCTTGTGAGACTGTGTTTTGGGCAGTGTTAGGCAGGCATTATTCAATGAGGAGGAGCTAGCAGAAGAGACCCAGAAACATTCTGTTTTCTTCAATTTTCCCTCGATTCTCCTCATTTTGAGGATTTCCCTTCTCAAACAGCAGTCATTGGGAGGATTGCCTGCAGAAGGGATATTTCATGACAGCCCACAGCCTACTGAAGCTTGAGGCCTGGAAGGGGCAAACCTACTTCCCCAAATCCAGAAAAATATAATTTTGATTATAGAGAGTCCCCTCTGGGGTTAGTAGAAGCACCCAGGCTCGTGACAGGACTCTGCCTGTCTCAGAACTCTGAGCTCAGAGCTCTGCCATTTGCTAGCTATGTGACCTTGGGCCAATGACTAAATCTCTCTGAGCCTCGGTTTTCACATCTGTGGTGCAATGGTGATAATAATGATATGTGTCTCACAGGATTAAGTAAACTGAAAACAAGAAAGCTAGTAGAATGGCACCAGACACGTAGTACGTTTTCAGTAAATGTGAGGCTTAAGCACACCAAACAACTTGTACTAAAAAAAGAAACAGCAACAAGAAGGTGTAACAGAACCGATCAATCTGTAGATGATTCTTAAGGCCAGGCACCATATTGGTCACTGCAGGAGGGATTAGCAGTGTTACAGGGAGACAGAAATGATGTACGCACAAAAGACTGAGGAGTAATGCAAGAGTGAAATAACCATCTAAAGTAGGCAGGAAATTGACTTCCATCTTCCCCTCTAAAGATGCCTATACTCTGAGAATTTGGGGAACCTTAAATATGTTCTATTAGATGGCAAGAGGGATTAAGGTTACAGATGGGATATATGTTGTTCATCCACTGACCTCAGAGAGATTATCTTGGATTATTCACGTGGGCCTAGTATAATCACAGGGGCTCTCAAATGGGGCAGGTGGAGGCAGGAGAGTCAGTGTCAGAGGGTGATGTGTGACAGGCTTGACCAGTCACTGCTGGTTTTGAAGTTGGAAGGGGCCATAAACCAAGGAATGCGAGCAGCCTCTAGAAGTTGGAAAGGTGAGAAAATGTTCTCCCGTAGAACCTCCAGAACGCAAACGCAGCCCCATCAACACCTTGATTTTAGCTCAAGAAGATTCACTTCAAACTGACCTGTGTCAATATAAGATGATAAATGTGTGTTGTTTTAGACCGCTGAGTTTGAGGTGATTTGTTACAGCAGCAGTACTAAACTAAGACACCATTTACGTCTTAAAGGCGAAACAAAGTAGCATTGAGTAACAGGCTCCTCTGTCCTTTAACTATAAATCAGAAGAGAATAATTTAATTCAGTACCCACTGATTGAATACCTACTATGTAAAAGGCAAAGTATTAGGTATTGATACATATCAAACATTCATGAATTTACAGTTATTAGGTGCCTATTTGGATACTGGGTTGGCACATTTAATAAGCAGCTACTAAATGCCCAATAATAATTAATATTTCTAAAATCCTTGCCATGTATCAGACATTTTCATTTAACACTCATGATGACACTGAAGTAGGAATTTTTAACATCACCATTTTGCCCTTAAAAAAAACTAAAGTTTGAAGAAGCGAGGTAGTCTGTGCGAGGCCGTTTAACCAGCATATTGTACGTAGCATGAGGATTTGAGCCTTGGGTTCTATTTTAATCACACTGCCTGCTAAATTCTGGAAACAGAAGCACAAAAGAGACCCACTGCCTGCCTTCAGTGAGCTCAGACTTGCACAGTGAGAGAAAGCTGGAGCTGAACTTGGTGGACGAGTCAGGTTGGGGGAGACAAGGGAGGTGGGTGCTGAGTGGAGGCGGGGTGGTACCTGTGTATCCTGATTGCCACTTCTCTTGTCTTACCCAATTTCCAGGTTTGTCCGTCCTGCAGAAAGTACTGGACACAGCTGCTGAGAAGAACTGGCAGGTGACAGCAGTCAACATTTTGACAACCACAGAGGAGGGATACCGGATGCTCTTTCAGGACCTGGAAAAGAAAAAGGAGCGACTAGTGGTGGTGGACTGTGAATCAGAACGTCTCAACGCTATCTTGGGCCAGGTAGTAAGAGGAGCAAAGGCTCAGAGTGGGTGAGGGCAATGGTTTAAGAATGGGCTGGATGGCCTTCTGCCTTGAATGTGACAAAGAGAGCTCTTGATTAGATGAGATAGGTGACTTCCTCGTATTCCGTAATTTATAAATTTTAATTCTGAATTTTTAAAAAAATTTTTAGTGTTTATTTTTTTGAGAGAGAGAGAGAGAGAGAGAGAGAGAGAGAGAGTATGTGTGTGTGTGAGTGGGGAAAGGGCAGAGAGAGAGAGGGAGAGAGACACAGAATCGGAAGCAGGCTCCAGGCTCTGAGCTGTCAGCACAGAGCCAGACGCAGAGCTTGAACTCACGAACAGCTAGATCACGACCTGAGCGGAAGTCAGAGGCTTAACCGACTGAGCCACCCAAGCGCCCCTCATTCTGAATTTTTATGAAATAGCACAAACAATGAGAGACTTGACAGTAGGCCTTCAAGTTGTTCTCAGATCAGTTGACCAAAAACTTACCCCCTTGTTTCCCTTTATGGTAGAAGGGAGATGACGTTGCACTTTAGATCTTGCGAACATGGGGAACACAGCCTGGAGAGCCAGATTCCTGGGTTTAGCTCTGGGTTCTGTCACTCCCTGGTCTAGCCATCAGCATCTCATTCATTTGGCCCACTGACCTGTCTTAAGAGTCCAAAGCAGCAGGAAGCACTTCTCTTCCTCCTGTTTCCTTGAACACATTCATGTGTCTGAGAAGTCTATTGATGGTACATTCTGGGAAAGGGCACTGTAACTTCAACTGCTTTTAGCCAGAGGTCTCTAAACTATGGTTCTCACCATCATCAGAGCTGGAGCATGTACCCACTGTACAAGTAACAGGCCTCTGTGTCAGTCTCCTATCTTTATGAATGACACCAGTGTGTGCAGGTGAGATAGCAAGAAAGTAGATAAAGATAATAGTTTTAGGTACTTGACAATATGACAGAGCTTGTTGATGGCCTTTCAAGACCCTGGGACCCCCATCAGGAGTCTTGCTAGCAGCTCAGCAATCACTCAGAGGCCTCAGCAACAGAACAGAGGAGATTTTAAAACTCGGGGATTGTTTAAGGCATTAATTATGTAGTCTGCTCTACAAAGGGTGGATCTGGCCTCCCTCTTGGAAAGAGAAGCCAGCAAAAATTGTTTCCATGAGATGGGAGTTCCCCAGGTTGGAGTCAAGGGATTTGAAAGCTGGTTAAATGAATCAGTATAGGAAAATGGTTAAGCAGAGAGACCCTGGAGACAGAGTGGCTTGGAGATAGAACCCAGCTCTAGTATTTACTAGCAATGGGGTCTTGGGCCAGGTTTTTCATCCGTGCCTTAGATTCATGATCTGTGAAATGGGCACAATAATAATTACAGCTTCCTTCAGAGGGCTCCTGTGAGAGTGAAAAGAATCTAGTCATGTAAAATACCTAGAACAGAGCCTGCCCCACAAAGAGTGACATATGTAAGCATTTCCTACTTTTGCTTTTTATAGCACCAGCTAGTACTGCCTTCTTGAGTCATTTCCCTCTTTGGGCATAAGTGTCCTCATCTGTTAAAGAGGATGATGGCCTCTGTTCTACAAAGCTGATAAAAAGATTGGAGAAATAGGAGTTGGGAGAAGTGAATGATAATTAGGTATTCTTAATAGACTGATAACTTGCCCTCTGTTGTTATAAAGACAATAGCTGGTGCCACTATTTTCTGAGCACTTGCCACATACCAGCACCATGCCAAGCCCTTTCCATGCATAATGCCACCTCATCCTCATATCAACTCTATAAAACTGCTTCTATCAGTTCCCCTATTTTCTAAATGAAGAAACAAGGGACTATGCTTGCCTGGGATTTCACAGCTAGCATATAAGAAAAGCAGGAAGTCAAACCCATCTCAGTCTGGTTATAAGGCCCAACTTTCCCCAAAATATTGTTTCAGCCTCTGCTGTTTATAACTACCTCCCGTGTCAAAAGACAAACTTGTTTTGTAAGGAAGTGACTTGTTTATGTGGGCATTTTAGGGTATAGTATATTAACTCAACCGTTAGATTCTTCTGTTCTGAAAAAGCAAGACCAAAGAGCTGAAAGGATCTTACAGATCATTCGGTTTACTGCGTGCATTCACATTTTACAGATGGGATAACTGATGGTCACATTGGTTGATTTGCCTTGGGTTCAGACAGCTAGTTAGTGACAATGGTGAGTCTCGAACTTGCAACTAATAACGGCTGGCAGTCTGACAGCTTGGCATTGAGCATTCGAATCGGGATCTTTTCGGTCCAATACAAACGTCCTGCCTAACCTAAAGAGGGAGATAGTGATTCTAAATTCCAGGTGGGGAATTGCCTATCTGTCTCCAGGCTCCCAACTAGAATATCAGCATTAGGAGGGCAAGGATTTTTGTTTCATTTTCTTCCCTGTGGTATCCATGGTGCCTTGAACGGTGCTTGGTATGTTGTAGGTAGTCAATAAATATTTTTTTGAGTACATGGAAAGAAGAGGGAATCAATGAAGGCTCTAAGGAAAGATCCCAAATGTGAGATAGGTTTGAATATTTATAGGTAGACATTGGCTGGATAAAAGCCATTAAGTTGGAAAGGAGGGCATATAGGGAGGCCCAGAGGGCATGTGAGGGCTGAAGTTGCTAGGATGATTTAATAAGCCAGGTGAAGGATGCTGAGTGCCTACTGGGAGACAGTGACAGAAGGATGAACACACGATCGTGACTATCTTTGGAAAGCATTCTAAGGAGTTTGGGGTTTATTCTGTAGACAGTCAAGAATCAGAGAAGGTTTGTGAGCAAGGAATTGGGTTATTAGAATATAATGCTTTTTCAATATATTAGACACCAAATTATATAGTGGAATCATTAAGTTCAGAATGAGTTAGAGATGAGAGACACCAGGATTAGGCCATCCATCACATCACCCTGTTTTACTGTCTTTGTAGTGCTTCTAACGTGCTGAAATCTTGTTCACTTATCTGTTTATATATTTACCATCTGTATCCCTACTAAAACATCAGCTCAGCTTCTTGAGGGCACGAGGACCTTGCCTCTCGTATTCATAGGTTGGCCCCCGCACATAGCATAGTGCTTGGCATATCGTCCATGTTCAATAAATATCTCTTGGTTGGATTAATTAATCAGAGAAGGTTATACAGAGTAGCTGGGATTAGAGCTCAGCCATAAAGGTGATGAATAACCAGAGAGAATGGGAAAGGACATTCCAGACACAAAGATTATGAATTAAAGCAATACAGTGGAAATGAGCTTTGAAAGAATGGGGTCAGCAAGGCTATGGGCTCCAAGTGAAATTATACATTACCCTCATAACACCTATTTCAGTTTGTAAGCTGGGGGCATTCACCTCTTCATCTATTTACTGTGGGTTTCCTTCCAGTAAAGTGGGACCTCCGGAAGGGCAAGTACCACATGACTCACTTCCCACGCTGTCCGCAGCGCAGTGCTTGGTACATAGTAAGCACTTAATAAATGTTTGTGAAAGGAAGGCAGGAAAAGAGGGAAGATAGAGCAACGGGTAGGTAGGTGAATAAATGGGTGGAAAGGTTGGCAATATGTTGAACCATATGAAATTACTAATTTTTATCAATCAGTAGTCATCAATTATCATCTGTTGCTTATGTTTCAATTGGTAATTTCATCTTGCAGAGGCTATTCTTATCCAATGCCTAAATGTGGTAGGCTTTGAAATATCTTTTATTTGCCTGTTTTGTGTTTACTAGAAGCTGAACAGGTTTTTGATGAAGGCATCTTATTGTTGAAAGGGTAGCAAACCGTTTGACAAGAAGATGGAAAAGTAATGAAAAATTATTAATAAAACTATCATCCCAATAGTATTTGAGCTCCATGGTCTGGAATTTCACAATCTATCTACTGTTTCAGAACATTCATTGTGTGTGCTTGCATTTAATTATTCCCAACATAAAAAAAATATGTGAGCTGCTATGCACATACATCCAATTAAGTAGATGTCTGAATGTGGATTTTAATAACCTTGAAAATTTATTCAGTTAGACAAGAAGCCCAAGTGCTTCTCATATGTTTTATTCCTTCTTGTAACAGTGCAGGAGTGGAACTGAGCAGAATGTTCTAACCCCAATTTCATGATTAAAAAATAAAGAAATAGATCAAGTTAACTTGCAGGCTGAGCTCGGGCTAAACCAAGACCTGGTCTTAGCTATCCCTCACTGGGTAGTATGTCTGGCTGCCCGAGAAAACCTCTGGATAATTCTTTCCACAAATATCCCCCCCCCCCCACCACCACCACCATGATTACAAATAGTTTGCACATTCAGGATGGAAGGGTTTGGGGGGACCCTGGCTCTTAATGATTAACCACAATCAGGTGTTTGTACAAAGACTCACAACAGTCAGGTTCCTATCCTAACACCGCTACCTGACTACTACAGGATCTGGGCAAATAATTTCCCCTTTCTAGGTCTAACTTACACTCTGTATAGTCAAAGATCAGACCAGATGACCCTGACATTCCCTTCCAGCTTCCAGGTTGAGTGGTCAGTTAATGTCTGGGTCCTCAACTGGTTTAGGGAAGAAGGCATAATATTCAGGGAAAGAAGGGACTGGGATCTGAATATCATTCATGCAAGGAGTTCAAGATCAAGAACCTGTCCATCTGACCATCCACCTACACCCATCTGTCCATCCAAGGAGCAGATATTGTCATGACAGTGACAGGAAATTCAACACAGCATAAGATTCTTACAAGAAAATAATCTCCATCTAGGGAAAGGCTTTATGGAAGAAGTGAAATGAGCATTTCGTCTGAATTTGGGGGGTTATAGTAACACTGCCCCACCACTGGTATCAGACAAAGCTGATTTCGTATTCTGCATCTGCCACTTAATAGCTGGGTAGCCTTAGGGAATTTATTTAATCTCTCTATGCCTCAATTCTCCATCTATAAAATGAGTATATCAATAATGCCACCATCATTGGATGTTTGTGATGTTGTAGTTTCAGTACATTGTAAGCATTCAATTAATGTTAGCTGCTATTATTATTACTGTAGCATTAATTGCTAATCTGATTGATGAATCCCTTCCTGCTGTGTTTCGTAGATTATCAAGCTGGAGAAGAATGGCATCGGCTACCACTACATCCTTGCAAATCTGGTGAGTACAGTATACTCAGGCTCTCAGCTTATATGTCTTTGCACATTTGGGCCCTAGCTTGCTTCTGTGATCCCCGGATGATGGGAACTGCGTGATTGGAGAGGGCAATTCAGAGCTGCAATACTAAGTTTACCTTTTCCCTTCCACATCCACACACTATTGGTAAACCTCTAACCTTCCTTGGAAGAGACAGTCATCACAATTGCAGATTTAATGAGCTCTGCCCCTTGACAATAGGGACAAAACCACCACATCTTTGAATGATACAAGATGCTTCCACCCCACTGTTTTTGATCCTTTATTTTGACACCAGTGACAGTTTTACTGTTTATAAATAAACATTAAAATCACAATTATACTACTATTGACAAATCTTTAACTGGAAGCAGTTTTCCAACATGAATGATATTATGTCAATTTCATTTTTTTGTTCCCTTTTCTAGGTGGTATAGATTAAGCCTGTCTTTTTAAGAAATGTTTTCATTTTAATATATTTGAAGTTCTTTTTATTGGGCACGATTATTTTCAATGTTGTGAAGATTTGATTCATCAAATAATTTTTATTCATACTAAATTTTACTTAATAACAACATGCCATTATGAGTTTTCTTTTGTGGCTATGATTTCTGGCAATTCTATTCTTCCTAGGTCATGTTTTGACCATATACCTTTTTTTTTTATTACGAAGTTTGATTCTTCTGGAATTTTATCCAAAACCAAACACAATTTCATTTTGCTTTTAGTCCCATTTTTTATTTTATTTTTTTAAATGTTTTTTTTAATTATTTTTGAGACAGAGAGAGACAGAGCATAAGCAGGGGAGGGTCAGAGAGAGAGGGAGACACAGAATCCGAAGCAGGCTCCAGGCTCCGAGCTGCCAGCACAGAGCCTGACACGGGGCTCGAACTCACGAACTGTGAGATCATGACCTGAGCTGAAGTCAGCCGCTTAACTGACTGAGGCACCCAGGTGCCCCGGTCCCATTTTTGAAAGAGCTTTAAGAAGATGTAATTCATATACCATACTATGTGTCTATGTAAAGTATATAATTCATCGCTTTTTAGTATATTAACAGAATTATAAATCTAACTTTAAAACTTTTCACCCAAATCTAAATTTAAAACTTTTTCATCAGGGGCACCTGGGTGGCTCAGTCGGTTGAACATCCGACTTCGGCTCAGGTCACGATCTCACGGTCTGTGAGTTCGGCTTTGACATGATCAGGCTCTGTGCTGACAGCTTCGAGGCACAGACTGTCTCCTCTCTGACCCTCCCCCGTTCAAGCTCTGTCTCTCTCTGTCTCAAAAAAATAAGTAAATGTTAAAAAAAAAAAAAAACTTTTTCATCATCCCAAAAAAGAAACCCTAGACCAATTAGCACTTGCTCCCCATTGCCCTCCAAATCTCCCAGCCCTAGCCAACTAGCAATCTACTTTTTAAATATTTGCATATTCTGGACATTGCATAGAAATGGAATCATACAGTATTTGGTCTTTTGTGACATGCTTCTTTCACTTAGCATAATGACTTCAAAGTTCATCCATATTGTAGCACATATAATACTTCACTTCTGTTCATTGCCGAATAATATTCTGTTATGTGGCTATATTGCATTTTGTTTACCCATTCATTTGTTGCTAAACATTTGGATGTTTTTCACTTTTTAACTATTATGAATAATGCCACAGCTTTGTGAATTATGAATTTGAATTATGAATAAGGTACAAGTTTTTCCCTTGAGTGTATAGCTAGGAGTGGAATTGCTGGGTTATATAGTAACTCTGTTTAACATCTTGAGAAACTCCAAAAATTATTTTCCAAAGTGGATATATTTCCCATCAAGTCAATAAGTTTTTATACTGATTAAAATATTTTAATCAATAACACATTTTGCCATGTGACAGTATGAGCAATTATCTGTTTTCCCCAATGTAGTTTTTTTCTACAAAGTTCGCTTATTATCCCGGCTTGTCTTTGTAATTTTCTGTTTCTATTAAGATGTGATTTTTAACTTTTTATCTATAACAAAGTGTATCATGTTAGTTTTAGGCACATTATTTTGTATCATTTCTGTGAGTACTATTAATTATTAATGGCACAAAATTGCTATTTTCTAGTTATTTCTGGAACAAAGGTCATTAGTAGAACAATGGCACAGGGTCTGGCTGTAGGTAAAGGGCGAAATTGCAGAATCTAAAAATGGTGTCACAGTATCCTTCCTGAGCCTTCAGTTCTGTTATTCTTTTTTGTTTGTTTGTTTGTTTGTTTTAAAAATGTCTACTTATTTATTTTTGAGAGAGAGTGCAGGTGGGGTAGGGGCAGAAAGAGAAAGAGAGAGAGAATTTCAAGCAGGCTCTGCACTGTCAGCACAGAGTCTGATGCAGGGCTCAAAGTCATGAACCATGAAATCATGACCTGAGCTGAAATCAAGAGCCAGACAATTAACCAACCGATCCACCCAGGCGCCCCTTTTATTCTTTCTGACCTGATCTCCATTTTCAAACAGGTCCCTGCCTAAACCTTCTTTCCCTTCAAAACTCCCTTGCCTTGGCTGCTCCAATATTTCAGACACAGGACTGGAAATAAGAAGGGCTTATTGAAATAGGTTAATTTAGACCCAGACATTAATAGCTAAATATGCTACTTTTCTCAGAGGTATTTGCATTTTAAATGGGGGTGGGCTGTCTAGAGACTTTTAAGGAACCAAGAGTCTCACCCTAAAAAAGACATTTCCAAGGATGGAATTTCTGACTTTGTAATGAAGCAAAACCTTGACATCCCTCGAATCGCAGATCCTTAGGGCTAGAAGGGACTTTGGAAGTCATTGCCATCTAAAGCTCATTTGCTCGGAGAGAAACAGAACCAGCAAGGTGGCATGGCCAGGGGCACACAGCGGGCCAGGAATATAGCTAGGCCTACCACCAAGGTTAGCCAGCAGCATCCAAAGCCTTATGCACTACTCCAGGATGCCTCTCAGTACACAAGGTGCAGGCACCCTGCTGCTTGAGAATACACAGAACAGTGGTGCGGGCATGCATAATCACCTCTCTGGGGTAAGATAGAAATTACATATCAGTGGCCTCAGAGCCACCGAAAGACCCCAGATAATTAAGTTGCCAGCCTCCATCTGTTGCCAAGTGACCCCTTGGTCACAGCATCACCAAGTCAGCCCCTTGGGTTTCTGTATCCTTCTGATCTGGATTCTTCTTCTTCTGACCTAATGAGCTCTCAGATCCTTACAACTGCCAGCTAATAGGATGCAAATTGCATATATCATCCAAATACAAAAGACTTACATGTTCCAATAGATTAGTTGATAATTAGGCTTCAAATTACTAATTAATTCAGTTCGAAACATAGGCGAGTATGTGGTGTGTGTTTTTCTTCCTCCTTCAGAGAAATAACGCAATTTATAAGATGATAATTTTTAGAAATTCCGCCACATAATTAGCCTGCTGCTGCATGGAACTGACCCCCTCCTTCAGAGTGTTTGTGATTAGGGTGTAATTATAGAGTTAGAAACCAAGGACGCTTTTGAAAGGTTTAACAAAAGGAGGGAGCTACACTTTTATTTCACAGTTCTCTCCGCACAAGAGAAATGGAATGCATGGGCTTTAAAGCAGCCAACAGCATTTTTCTAACAGATCACTTTGGAGGGATTCAAATAGCCAGCTTTGGGGGGCTGCTGGAAGAGAGGAAGGAAGGAGACTGTGGTTAGAGAGGAGAGCTTTATGTACACGGAGTTAAAAAAAAATAGCATGAACCTTCCACCCCCCAACCCCCGCTTTTTGTCCAGACACCACCATCAGCTGGCTCTGTGATCTTGGGTAACTCTCCAGCCATCAGTTTTCTGACCCATCAGATGGGAATGATAGTTCCTGATCTGCACACTATAGTGTCATTGGAGAGATCAAAGATGATGCTGAACGTCACCATGTGTTGGAAAGTTGAACATGTTCTACATAGGTGGGAGATTCTTACCACATATACTAAATCTGCCCAACTGTATGTCACTTATTGTGTGTATGTCTGTGTATGTGTGTATGCACACATACACAGACATACACACACACAGACATACACACACACACATATGTGCTTATGTATTCATATTTTATATATGATAGGATAGATGTGTATTTATATTTCTAGAGCAGTGGTATGTCCATAAAGTGTACTTGAACCTTGCAGAAATTGGAGAGCTATGCCATTATTTCTTAAAGAAGCACCTAGGCCCTGGAGCCCTCCAAAGAGCCAGGCTATCCAGTCTGGCTGTCTGTCTTCCTCCAAACCCCAGTACTGACTCCGTGTTCATTCGCTGCTCTGACACTGTGGTCAAAGCAGACATCTACCTGTCAGGGCCCTCCTGAGTTACAACTTTTGCCTTTGTGACACATCAGCAACAAATCTTAGACCAAACTAGCATTTCTCAAAACAGAGGGCCTATGGACTCCTGCAATGCATCTGCTGAGCCAGTTTGGGAAACATTGAGCAAATACATAAACGTTTCGGTATCACTGGAATTGTAAAAATGAGTACTCACAACATGGGACAAATTGCAAAATTATTAATATTGATGATTAGAGTTTCATTGAAACAAATCAGTACATTTTAAAATGCTTATAGAGAACTAGCAGACCTCTGAGAATTTACGAAGGGTCCAGCAGACTCCAGTTTGAGAAACATTGAAGGTGCTGATTCTCTTTCAATATGGACCATATGGTACCTCCTGGGGGGTTAATAACAGTAACAGCGATTCCTCCCATTTTCAACCTGTTATGCTTTATGTGAAATTTCTTATGAATCACACTGCTGGCTCTTGAATGTCATAATACTCCTGTGGAGTAAGCAAGGTAGAATTTATCATCCACATTTTACAGATGTGGGAACTGAGGCTCAGATAGATTATGTGACTGAGCTGCAGAGGAGGAAGGCAGGCACCTAGTCCATGGAGTCTGTCTGGCTCTCAGGAATCTGACAAAAACCTAGTAAGATGGGAAT